TAGAGCAGTGGGGGGTTAGGCCTCCTGGTTTTGGATAGAGCAGTGGGGGGTTAGGCCTCCTGGTTTTGGATAGAGCAGTGGGGGGTTAGGCCTCCTGGTTTTGGATAGAGCAGTGGGGGGTTAGGCCTCCTGGTTTTGGATAGAGCAGTGGGGGGTTAGGCCTCCTGGTTTTGGATAGAGCAGTGGGGGGTTAGGCCTCCTGGTTTTGGATAGAGCAGTGGGGGGTTAGGCCTCCTGGTTTTGGATAGAGCAGTGGGGGGTTAGGCCTCCTGGTTTTGGATAGAGCAGTGGGGGGTTAGGCCTCCTGGTTTTGGATAGAGCAGTGGGGGGTTAGGCCTCCTGGTTTTGGATAGAGCAGTGGGGGGTTAGGCCTCCTGGTTTTGGATAGAGCAGTGGGGGGTTAGGCCTCCTGGTTTTGGATAGAGCAGTGGGGGGTTAGGCCTCCTGGTTTTGGATAGAGCAGTGGGGGGTTAGGCCTCCTGGTTTTGGATAGAGCAGTGGGGGGTTAGGCCTCCTGGTTTTGGATAGAGCAGTGGGGGGTTAGGCCTCCTGGTTTTGGATAGAGCAGTGGGGGGTTAGGCCTCCTGGTTTTGGATAGAGCAGTGGGGGGTTAGGCCTCCTGGTTTTGGATAGAGCAGTGGGGGGTTAGGCCTCCTGGTTTTGGATAGAGCAGTGGGGGGTTAGGCCTCCTGGTTTTGGATAGAGCAGTGGGGGGTTAGGCCTCCTGGTTTTGGATAGAGCAGTGGGGGGTTAGGCCTCCTGGTTTTGGATAGAGCAGTGGGGGGTTAGGCCTCCTGGTTTTGGATAGAGCAGTGAGGGGTTAGACCTCCTGGTTTTGGATAGATCAGTGACGGGTTAGACCTCCTGGTTTTGGATAGAGCAGAGAAGGGGAACAAAACTGAATGCAAAACCAACTAAAAGTACCTCCTGAAAAAAAAAAAGTCAGCATCACAAAAATTGTATCAAAAAATTAAAGTTTATATTTTCTATGACATTATACAAGTGCTCATCCCTGCCAGGCTAATGTATTCTGACAGTGGTGGGTGTGCAGCTGTCAGATTACCCCAACAGTAGGCAATTGTCCCTTCCATGAAAAGGCTACTTGGTTGTTCTTGCCTCCCGAAACTGAAAGCTGCACTGAGGGAATAAGCCATTTATTAGCATTGTATATTCTACATTCTAGGAACCTGAAACTAAACTGTTCTACGGAACAGAAACTACATTGCATGTGACTTGTGACTGTGCAGAGGGTGCGATCGCAGAGCTGTGCGGTGTATGCAGAGGGTGTGATCGCAGAGCTGTGCGGTGTATGCAGAGGGTGTGATCGCAGAGCTGTGCTCCATCCTACAGGGACTGTACCGTCTACGTAGGAGGGACCGACCCACTTTATAAAACTGCCTCAACATGTTTGAGGAAGCAGTTCAATCCGCAAGCTGAGAGTCTGAAGAACATTATTATCATCAGGTACTGCTGCGTGATGACAGTATGTATGTGACTATATATATGTATATCATGCGTGTGTTCATGTATGTGACTATATATGTATATCATGCGTGTGTGTGTTCATGCATGTGACTATGTATGTATATCTTGCGTGTGTGTTCATGTATGTGACTATGTATGTATATCATGCGTGTGCGTGTGTTCATGTATGTGACTATACATGTATATCATGCCTGGGTGTGTGTTCATGTATGTGACTATATATGTATATCATGCATGTGTGTGTTCATGTGTGGGATTGTATGAAGTCTCTGCGTGTACACGTATAGGAAGGTGGTAGCAGCGCTCCATTCAAAGTGTCACACAGAAGAAATGATGCAGCAACAGGTGTTGGAGACTCTCAAAGGAAGGAGGAGGATTGATTGTACCAACCTGCTGTATATAGGGAGAGAGAGAGAGAACGAGAGAAGGAGAGAGAACGAAAGATATAGAGAAAGAGAGAGAACAAGAGAGAGATAGAAAATGAGAGAGAGAGAGAGAGGGAGAAAAAAAAAAGAAGCTGATAGAGGGATATAGAGGGAGAGATATTACAGGAGAAAGCTAGAGATAAAGAGACAGCTAGAAAAAGATTGAGAAAGAGATAAAGAAAGGGATATATTTACTGTAAGTTCTCAGTTATCCGATATTCAACTAACCAGGACTCTCATCTAACCAGGAAAAAAAATCCCCTGTGCACTCCGTGTTCTGCTGATCTGCGGCGTGTACTATCCCGGAAACGATCGCGTGTCTATTTGTATTAATTTGCTTTTGATTGCTGCATTTCAGTATTAATACGAAGTCAATACAGAGTTTATGATATGGTATAGTAT